CTTATTATTAATATTTTTATTTAAAATATTTAATAAAAATAAAAATGTAGAGAGGAATATTGAAAATTGACAAGTGTCTCTTATAAATAAAATTAATTTTTTTCTTTTTCTAGCATATAAATAAGATTAGAGGAGTATAAGCTATTTTTAATTAAATCTTACCTTAAATAAAATAGTTATTTATCTTTAAATTAATATTAACTTTTCATATTTACTCCTATTCAATTAAGTGTTTTGTTCTAAATAAATATAAAATGATATATTCAATAGGAGCACTTTTAAAAAAGATAATAATTATATCTTTAAAGACTAAAAATGCTTTATATTTTTTAATATATAATTTCTTAAAAAATATTTTATATTTTTGAATGGGGTGTACATAAATAGACTTGAATTCACCAAAATAAAAATAAAAAGACATGAATTGCATGCAGGCTGTGATTACGGAGATAATTATCATATGGGTAAAAGAGTAAATTGACCCTAAACTATAGATGCAAAAACATTTAGAATTCTAAACTTATTTTTATGCATTTTTCTTCTTTAACTTTTAAAAGTTGTATAATATGACCCTTATCATTAAGAAAAGTCAACTTTAACCTTTAATTGATTAGAAAAATGACAAAAAATGATCAATAAATTTTTCTTGTTTTTATTTTTTAGGTCCTTATATATAATTTTTGAGTATTTTACTATATTTTTTGATCCTTTTATATAATTTTTAATATTCTTTTATGTAATTTTTTAGTCATCTAATTATTAAAATTAACTTTTATTGATAATAAAGATTAAATTTTATCATTTTTAAAAGTTGAAAGAAAATATTATACAAAAAATAAATTTAAAATTCTAAATATTTATGAACTTATAATTTAGTAGTTAATTTGCCTTTTTAGCATTATCATATTTAGTATTTCTATGGAACGTGGTCCCTTGATTTGCTCACTGAATTAATAAATGATCCTCGATCAAATATGGGATAAAAAAAAATGGTGAGTTTAATTTCAGGGCAGAAGCTACTTTCACCCTTGACATGAGTTTAGTTTTCAATAAGATAAAAAAAAATACTTTGGGAGCAACAAATGATCATAAATGCACAAGTTGACATGGAGAAGAACAAATTCCTAACCTCAAAGGTTGGCCCATACAATGTGATCATGGAGTTCGAAAACATATATATACAAAATTTTCATAATTTTTGAAAGGCAAAAAATATGTAACATTTGTGTAATATTAAAAAAATTAAAATTTTAAAAGACGTCATGACCTTTGTTAGTCCCCTCCACCCATGGTTGTTTTATTTTTACGAGGGAATTATATTATAATATATTTATATATTCAAATTCACATAAATAATAAAATAACAATAGGGGGGAAAAGGTGGGACTTGCCAATCCATATCTAACTGGATGAGTTGGGCAAATGTCAACCTATTTTGCAGATGTCTTTTTTATTATTTATATGCATTTTTTATTAAAAATAATTATATTAAAAACATTATTAAACAGTAAATGTGAGTATTTTTTTTTCTTTAGTTTGACTCATGCTTGTTATGGGCCAATCCCCAACTTTCATATTAAAAACATTGTTGAACAGTAAATGAGAGCATTTTTTTTTTTTTAAGTTTGACTCATGCTTGTTATGGGCCAATCCCCAACTTGAAGCTTATCATATTCCAACTCTGTCTTGGTTTATTCTTCAACCACTTTTAAGTGAAAGTTATTAGTAATAATAGTAAGTAACATAATTTTTAATCCCTATATTTTAATCTTATTTTATTATAGGTTTCTGTATTTTTTTTATATTTTAAATTTTTAAATTTTTATTTTTTGATATTTTAGGTTCCTAAATAAAAAAAGTGTAGAGATATTAGAGAGATCTAGAATATTAAAAAATACAAATATTAGGACCTAGAACATTAAAAAAATACAAGAATATATAACAAAATATGAATAAAGTGCATGAATTAAAAGTTATATTTTTATTAATAGTAATAATTTGTCTTGAAACTGTATCTGATGAGAGAGAGACCTACATTTTATTTTAAAAAAAATCAGAATAAAATGTTGTTTCATGGCTTGTCCTATTTTAACTTCAGGCAAAGTTGTTTCTGGCTCAAATTAATCATTACTTTAAGAGTAGAATTGAAGCAATTTTGATATTTAAAGATGATTTTACTCCGACAAATATTTATGATGATTTAATTTCCTTTTAGAAAATTGTTTAATTTATGATTAAAAATACAATTTAATCCTTTAAAGTTTAAATAATACTTAGAGTGACACACATGAAATACTTCCTACATTATCTAATATATAGCAACAACATGGAAAAGCTTTCATTACTAAACAATAAGCAAAATTGCAAACTCCATTGAATAATTTAATATAATGTTTAGAAGAATTCTTCTCATAATTATCCCTTTATTATGAGAGGTGTTGGGAAAATTATTGCTCAACTTCTCTATACTAAACTCATTTACTGGGAGTAAAATAAGAAACATATTTATATATATATATATATACACAAAGTCTAGGTGAGATGGGTCTCGAGATTGATTAAGACTAAAACATATTTTTAAACTCAAAGAATGCTTGTAGAGATACTTACAAATTACCTACAAAGTCCTTACATTAATAGTGAAATTTAATGTCATGATCTTGTAGGTTATGAATCAAATTTTTATCATCTGAACTAACTTTTGTTGATTGAGAAACAAAATTTTTGTTCATATACAAACCATTTTTTAATGCATGAACCTGGCTTCATGCATTTCTCATGCTCACTCCGCTCCTTTCTATAACAAAATTGATAGAGTTCTCCTAGTCTTATCATCAATTTTTTTTTATAAAAAAAAACCTCTTATGTAGAGTATGTATTACAATTTTCCTTTTTAACCTTTATTAATAAGTATTTTTATTAATAAATTAAATTATTAGAAGCTATCAGTCAATTATTTTTTAATAATACATCAGTCAATTATTAAATGATAGTATTTTGAGAAGGGATTTTATATTTAAAATATATTTATCAAATCCAAATACTTTAATTGCATTTTTTATACTTGAGAATTAGATATTTTTTTTTGTACATTAAAAAAAAAAGTGGAGGAGCATGAAATAAAGGAAGTAATATTTATAAATCAGATTCTAACATTATGTATGAGATTTAAATCCAGATTTTAAAGTGCACACGTGTGTGTGGAAGATTTATGTATTCTCTTTCAACCAATAGTGAAATGCCAGCCAATAGAAAATCTTCTACATAATGAATTATGATGAAGTTGAGAAATAAGTGAATTTTCCAAATGCGGTCCTTGTGAAAGTGCACTCCATGCTCATCACAAATAATATAGACCATTTAGATTAAATTTAAATAATTTAAATTTATTTTGACTTGATTATTATGATTTTAATCTTTTATTTCCTTAATAGGTGCAAAATCTAACAGAACAATAATTCTTCTACTGTAGTCATGTTATTAAACTTACTTAAAAATATAAATTTAGAACTTTAACTGTCTAGATAAGTTTAGATGGTTTACATTTCAACATAACAATACAATGCACCAAATGGTCACTCATTCATTAAACCTAACTCATTTTTATTTTCTAACAAATTGGATTTTAAATAAGTATGATGCATGGAATTTTATACATGGATGAATTTTTATTATGGAGTATATATTGATGATTTTTGTTATTTTAATCAAGTGATACATTATTAAAAGATTAGTTATTATATACTCCTTCCGAGCTACGATATAAGTTGTTTTATAAAAGCTTTACTTAATCCAAAATATGAAACATTGATTAGGTGTGATATATATATTTTTCAATTATACACTTATTTTATTAAGCAATTAATGAGGTACTTTAAATAATTCAAATTCAAATATTATATTCATCATATTCAAGGGCATTATTTAAAAGATGTGAAAATTTTTAAAAAATTAATATTTTAACTAAATTTTTTTTAAAAATATACATTAATTAATAATAACTTATATTGTGATATAGAGAGAATAAATAAGTTCTTAAGTTTTTAACATGTTACAACATAATTAAATATTTCAAGATTCACAATCACAACTAATTTAACTATCTTTGCATGTTGTTGGGAACTGTTAAAAAGTCTGTTTAATATTACATGAAATTTTTTAAAATATAATACTTAAAAATATATGGCATTTTGGGTCGCATAATTAATATCTGACCAAAAAAATGTGTACTCCCTCTTGTCTTTTTATAACTCATATCCTAAAATATTTTTTTTGATTTTTTATACGAATTATTTTTCTTAATTTTCGCAACATTTGATAAACAATTCAGAAAAATACTTCAAGCAAAATTTTTTTTCAAAATAAAATATTTTAATTTAAAAAAATTTAAATATTAAATCACTTTTTATAAAATAATTTATTTTTATAATTTTATTATTTTAACTAATTCATCTTGATTTTGACAAATAAGTTAGAAGTAATTTATAAAAAATTAAAAGAAGTAATTAATAAAATTTTAAGAAAATATTATAATTAAGAAATATTTTAATTTAATTATTTTTAATTAAAACACTACATTAAATAAATGTAAAAGACAATTAAGCAACAGTGTACATAGAATAATTTATAACAAAATATATATTTTATAAAAAAATGTTGATTTTGATTCCAATTTTTTATGTAATACAATGTAATATAACATTTTTTTTAATTTTATTTATAAATCATATTTTAAAAATTTATTTAATCTCTTTTATAAGTTATAATGTGATTTTTGTTAATAATATTTAAAAAAATTTTAAAATTATTTTTTATAAAATAGAAAAAATATTATTTCTTTAACTTGTTATATTTCTATACAGTTTTTTTTTTTATATTTTTTGTATTAGTATTAATAAATTAATAAGAATGACTTATAACGAGGACAGAATGAGTACGATATAATAATGACTTCACTTTTTGGGTAAACAGTGCACCGCCGCTCATCACCCCCAAAAAAGACAATCAGCGCCAAATCCGAGGCAGCAAAGCAAATAGCAACCCCTTCCACCTCTCTCTCCCCGTCTCGCATTCCAATCTTCATGTGTATATATATTATAAGCAATTACTGCTTGGTTCGTCGATAATATTCTCCTCCGTCGCTTTCCTTTCCCCGTCGCAACCTATGCTTCTGTCTTCACCGCTTTTTCTCACCCTCTTTTCCCTCTTCTAGCTTCTCAGCTATTCCTTTTTCTACAATGGGCTTCTTCCTACTGCTGTAGCTTCCTTGTAACAACAACTATTGGTTTCAAGTTTCTAGAGAGTTCGCTTCAATGGCGGAGCATGTTTACTGCTGTGAACCCAAGTTTTTCATGTACTTAGCCGTAATTGTGCTTCTCGTCCTGTTCGCTGGATTGATGTCTGGCCTTACCCTCGGCCTCATGTCCTTGAGTCTTGTTGATCTTGAAGTCCTCGCTAAGTCTGGGACTCCTAAGGATCGCGAGTATGCTGGTAATCTGCTTTGCTGATGATCTCTTGTTCTTTCTCGTGTTTCTCTCTTGCTTGTAGTTTTAATTAATTAATTTTCCTTACTTTCTGTATACTTGTTTATTATTAATTTCGTAAGTTCTTGTCGCTAATTGTCAAGCTTGTAGAGATCAAAACCGAAGAGCCTTTCCTATGTAATGACTTGTTTTACGATTTGAATTTTTGAGCGTCATGCTGGAAATATTTCTGGAAAATTGCCTTCTGCAGTTGGTGATTTTCACTGTTCTTAAAATTTTCATCCGACGCAAAGTTTATTGAGGTGGCTTGATGTGATTTCTGTTTTGGAATTCCAACTAAATGTGGTTGTCTGTTCAGATCCTATGAATGAAACTCTTAACAACTTACCTCTCAATATTTTTTTTGGTGCACTCCTAAGTGACTGTTATCGCTTGACTGAGAACTGAGAAATCCCTGGCTTCTAAGAAATAGGAATTACATTACCTTGTTGGATGTTATGCGGCTATTAATTCTCCTGCTCTTTGAATGTGCGACTTGTCTGTACAGCGAAGATATTGCCTGTTGTCAGAAACCAACATTTATTGCTCTGTACCCTGCTAATTTGCAATGCTGCGGCCATGGAGGTACAACAAAAACCTACATTCTACCGTGTAATTTGATTGATTGGATAACTCAAAAATCGAGCTAATTTTAGACGGTGATGGGCTTTTTAGGCACTTCCTATTTTTCTTGATACTCTCATTGCTTGGTGGGGAGCTATCCTGATTTCAGTGACATTGATTCTTCTGTTTGGTGAGGTGAGATGATTTTCTTTTTTTCGTTATATATCAATGACAATAGAAGCAAATGGCAGATTCAAAAGCGTTCTCATCGTCCATGGCTCGGCCTTGTTCTTAATGAGGTGGTAGATGCCTTTCGACACTGGTGGTTGGTGATTTGGAAATCGTAATCATGAATGAGAATAATTTGATGAACTGGATCATAAGAAGCAGTTGAAGTTTCCAAATTTGGCTTAAGACTTGTCTGCTATGTGAATAAACCATGCTCTTGTACAATTGCTGCTTGTCTAGCACATGCCTTACATCTCATAGGAAGAACTTTTAATCCTCAAATATTCAGCATGGTCTGTAGAAATGCTCTGACATCTTTTTAATTTTATTTGTGTGAAGATTATTCCGCAGTCTGTTTGTTCTCGTTATGGTCTGTTGATTGGTGCAACAGTGGCACCCATTGTCCGTGTGCTTGTATGGATATGCTTTCCAGTTGCTTTTCCAATCAGCAAGGTGAAAGAAATAAGGCAAAGATTCTGTTACTTTGTTTCTAGTAAGCCAAGAAATTTAATATGCTCATTCCTGATTTATTTGTTTTCCCTTTCTTTGCATTTTTGCATTTCTGTGGTTTTCAGCTTCTAGACTATCTGCTGGGTCATCGAAATGCAGCCCTTTTCCGCAGAGCTGAGTTAAAAACACTTGTGGATATGCACGGTAATGAGGTCTGTACGAGAGCTACATGATGCATCTTTATTACTATTGTATAACTAATGTTTTCAATTTTATTTTTGCTCCCTTGCTCTTGAAGTTGAACAAACTAGTTATTTGTCATCTTGTTATTTTGCTAGCATGCTGCACTTTTTTGCCTTTTTTGATGCAGTTTTCCTGGAATGTGACTGAAGGTCATCTTATGGTCTTCTCTTACGGCTATTTAGGCTCATTCACTTTGAAATGCATGCACTCTTATCTTCTGTTTGACATTGTTGTCCTATGTTTAAATTTAGGCTGGAAAAGGTGGAGAACTGACACATGATGAAACAACAATCATTGCTGGGGCACTTGAACTAACTGAGAAAACTGCCAGTGATGCTATGACCCCTATATCTGGAACATTTTCCATTGATGTTAATGCAAGACTTGACAGGTAATGTGTTACTATAGAATACAAGCTTTCCTTAGTATTATATGCAGCCCTTGATAATATAATTGAATGCCTGGTTATAACCAGGGACTTGATGTGTTTAATATTGGAGAAAGGGCATAGCAGAGTCCCAGTCTACTATGAGCAACCTACAAACATTATTGGACTTATTCTGGTATGTTTATCCCTTTTATTGCCGATAGAGAAATAAATTTTATGTCTCATAGTATGAGCTCAGTAATCAATTATGTAGCAGAAAAGTAGCTCTCGTAAGTCACAAGTTTTTATGGGATATATGGAGAGAGTTTGTCCACTATTAGATGATGTACTTGTTGCATGTTGCTCAGTTATGAATCAAGTGCGGTACTTGATTCTGATACACACGGTTGCATTCATGAAGTCTTCTAACGCAAGAAATTCCTGGGAACCTTAATTGAATGACTAATTAAAAGCAATAACGCTTGTCTTCTGCAGTAAATTTGATCAAATGAGATCCATGGTTCTTGCAATATTCTTTTTCTTTGGTTTAAGTTCTTTCTACTTTTGCTCGATGTCTAGTTAGACTTATCCTCAATTTTTCCGTTGGCAATGTGTTTCATAAACCTGCGCTGCTTAATTTTAGGTCAAGAACTTGTTGACAATTCACCCAGAAGATGAAGCACCAGTGAAGAGTGTAACCATTCGAAGGATTCCAAGGTATATATTTAATAGTACCATGTTAGAAGGCGTGTTGATCCCATGTGGAATCTGATGTACGTTGTGTGACATGTCACCCAAATTCATGCTTTAAAACCGTCTACTTTGACAGAGTTCAAGGAAGTATGCCGTTGTATGACATTTTGAATGAGTTCCAGAAAGGCCATAGCCACATGGCTGTTGTTGTAGAACAGCGCGAAAATCAGCAATCTTCCGATAAACATGGTAAGCACTAATACTGTGATTAATATATTTATCTTCTGCCAACATTTAATATAGATACCTTTGAATTGAAACCGGTTATTTCGGCTCATTCTAACCTCTTCCGGTCCATCCATACCTCTGGCATAGGCTCAACGAAAGAGTGGAGTGTGGATATTGATGGTTTTAAGCCTTCACCTGAGAGAGTTCTCTTCAAAAAGAAGCCAATGCATAAGTGGAAAAGCTTTCCAAATACACGCAGTTCTCCCAGGCTTGGTTCTCGATCCAGAAAATGGCCAAAAGCCATGTACTCGGATATTCTGGAAATAAACGGAAGCTCACTTCCGGGGCTCCCCGAAGAAGTAGAAGCTGTTGGAATTATTACAATGGAAGATGTTATTGAAGAGCTCTTACAGGTATCAACACCCTTCCTGAACTCGCTTTCTTTCTTCTTGAACACTCGAGACACACACAAACCTCAAAACTATCCTGTGGAAAAACCTCACTAACATCATCATTTCTTGCTCTAGGAGGAGATATATGACGAGACAGATCATCATTATGAGGACTCGTGACCAAAACAGAGCCTCTGGTCATGTACAGATAGACCCGAAATATTGGCGTCATTTTCTTGTTTTATCTGAATGGATATTGCAACTTAGGGTTGAGAACGTTGGATAGGTCAGGAATGTGTGATTATATTACAAGGTGATAGGCCATAATTAACACAGTTGTTGCCAAGGATCCAAATCAACACTTGGTTTGGTTCATGCTTCATTGTGCCTTTGCATGTTTTGAGGTTGGCGCAACTTATGTAAAAAATGTGCCAAATTAATGTCCTGCGCTTCTTTTCAGAACCACCTTTGTTCCCATTAGGAGAAAAAATTGCATCAATTCAATTGTAAGTTTCATGTTCAAGAATCCATTAATCCATGGAGTTCAGTTCCCTCCTGTGATGGGTTTTAGCATTTTTGGAGAATTTTATTTATGGAGTATAGGTACATCATATGAATGGAAAATTTTTTTTGGTAGTGCTTACCGAATTTTTTAATAAAAATATATAAAAAAAACTGTTAAGGTTTTTATAAATTAATTGATAATTAGATATCATGTATTCAGCGCTTGTGCGAGTAAACTAGGTCAAGGGTGTAATATTTTTAAAATTAATAATTTTAAAATAATTAGGAACCTTTTTGGAAAGAGAAGGTACATTCGCGTGATTTCAGGTTTTTTTACCAATACATTATAAATAATAAAAAAAATTGTCCAAATGTTACATCACGAAAAGTATTTATCAAAATGTTATACTTATAATCGTTCAATTCAAGAATGATTTTATATTCACACTAAGAATGATTTTTTAGTCAGGAATTATTTTTTTATTCAATAAAAAATGAAATCATTCAAAAATAATTTTAACTTTTTTTTATTAACATGACATAATATTTACTGTCAATCGTGATAATCTCTTATTTTCTCTCATTATTATCATCATTGCCCCTTTTCACCTTTTCAAAACTTACTCAATTTACGTCTTATTGTATGCAACCTTTATCATTATCCTTTTTCAACTCACCCACTCCTAGATTGCTTATGTCTTTACTTGATGATTTGGTATTATTTTGGGTTAAATACAGCATTTCTACCTTTTTAAATGGTAGACTATCCAATGAAGCATACGTCACCCCTCGACGGTTGATTTCTTTAGTTAAACCACTTTGGTTTGATTTAAATATGTTGACAACACAAATATATGAAACACTTGAATTTCAAAAAGATGGGAAGAAACAACAACAATAACAACCATAATGTATGAGAAGGAGAACAAGATGTGGTGTCAGAAGTCACTATTTGTAAGGTAAATTAATTTTCACTTTTCATTCATATAATTTAATCATTTATTATTAATTCTCATAAAGTCTAATAATTATTGACAATTTTTAATTTAATAAATTAAAAGAAATTGACTATTGAGAGGTGACATATGTTTCATTTGATGATCCACCATGTTTGAAAGTAAAAGTACTGTATTTAACCAAAAATAATGCGGGATCATCAAGTAAATGCATGAACAATAAAAAATGAGTAGAAGTGGGTGAGTGGAAAAAAGATGATAAAAGTGACATGTAATAAAATTTGAATTGAGTAGGTTTGGGAGAGGTGAAAAGGAGTAATAATAATGATAAGAAAAAGTAAGAGATTATCATAGTTGATAATGAATATTATGTCATGTCAATGAAAAAAGTTGAAATCGTTCTTGGTTTGGACGATTTCACTTTTGATTGAATAAAAAAATAATTCTTAACTAAAAAATCGTTCCTGATGTAAATGATTACTTCACAATTACAAAATTGTTCTTTGTCTAAATAATTTTTAGTGTAACATTCTGATAAATACTTTTCAGGATGTAGCATTTAAGTAATTTTTTTATTATACATAGTATATCAGTAAAAAAGCCCTTGATTTTATGTTTTGAAATCATTGAGCAATTATTTTATTATCAATGTTAAAGAAAACTTTTTTTTAATATAAATACTAGAGAATTATTCATTATGGATTTTTCATTCAATTTTGCAATCAATTTTTCAAAAACTTCATAACAGAAAAGATTTTTAAAGTTTTTATATCATTGCTATGACAATCAGTAACATTATTGCTAACTTCAAGAGGGTATAAAATAAGAAATAAACTATATGTCTACTTGTTTTTATCAATTTTTTTGGCAAGACTACCAATTTCCTTTAATGATGCAAATTGAGTTTCGTTTTGCATATCAATGATATTAGTTTCAAGTTAATTATGAAGCATAATTAAATCAAAGAAGGAAAATTCACATAGAACTTGACAAATTCAATTAACATTCTTTTTATCAAATTTTTGAGTTAAATTTTTTTGGCTTTCAGCTGAACATATTTGAAATTCTTTTGAAACCCAATTATTTTTAAAGTTGAGCTAAGGGTGTAAAATATTTAGATCAGAGAGTGTGGAATAGTGAAACGTATGATATTTTCTCATAATTTTCTCTAAATTCGGGGATTTGCCCCCTTAAAATCAACGTCCATGCATATATTAGTTTTTATAAGCTTTTAGTCATCCTGCAAGTTTTTTAAAAATTTGAGCTTTTAGTCATCCCATAATTGGTTATGTAAATTGATTGGTCTGGAAATTACATTCTTATTCTTATTTTTAAAATAGATTCTTACTTTTTCTGGAATATTCTTATTTCTTGAAACTGTTAAGCAAAGGAAGTGGTTCCTGTAATCCTGTCTGAGTTTCTGCTCTTAAAGTATCTGTTATAGGTAGCTCGTCTGTCTCTGCTTTTTTTTTTTTAAATTTTAAATTGAGTATAAATATCGTTCTTATAGAAAATATAAATATAAATTTCCTTTTTTTCCGGAAAAATTTTTGTATACTTTTAAAATGATATCAATAAATCAATATATTATTAATTTATTAATATACAATAAAATACTTGAAAAATAATATTATTTATAAAATAGAAATAGTTTCATGTGAATATTAAAATGAATAATTGTCGCTATCTTAGCCGTGTCTGTTAGTGGCCTTAGCCTCGCCTGACAAGTAATGCCACGACAAGGTGACAGATTTGTCGTACATTTTGATCAGAAATCAATCAGAAAATCGGAGCCACATAAATAGCTACTTGCCTAGTTGGTCAAAAGATCATTAGAAAGCAATCAGGACTATATGTATTATATATATGTGTGATGTGATATTAAATAGTCACAATTCACGACTAATAAGCAGCGGCTCCGACATAGACAGTAGATACCCCAACATCGGATTCTCACAATCTCACTCTCAGTCTCACGCGCATACTAATTTTTTTGTCACAAGAATTTTTCGTTTTTTTACATTGCATAGAACAAGGGCAAATGGTTACAAAGGACCAAATCATAAAGATATTTGTTAAAAAGGACCAACAATTTGAAATGTCATCTTATAAAGACCATGCTCCACAAGAGAAATTAAATTAAAAAGTGAATTTACGAAATTATCTCTAAAAAAAGACCATGGTTATTTTTCAACTTTCTGCACTTTTTTTCAATGTTTTTAAAGGGTTTTTCCGACAAACACTAACCATTTTGCACAGTTTTGACTTTTGAGGTTGTGGTCCCATAATTTGATTTGAGAGAATTTTAGTTAAGAATTATTGTAAAGCCTTAATTTCATGTGGATTCAAAAAATTCTGAAATTTCAATTTAATATAGAGAAGAAAAGTTAAAAGAATTTTGATAATAAAAAAATTAAAATACTCTTCACTTATTATGTAAAATCATTAGTTGTTAATTTTTTTATTTCACTTGTAAATTTATGAATATGAATTGTAAATTATATGAATTAATATGTCAATAATTATATAAGATTTAACATTAATTTTTCAATTATAAGGAGCAGCAGTTTTTAAATTGCTAACTTTACTTGTTATAAGTGATGTTAGTAAATTAATAAATAAAGTTAGCAACTGATGTTAGTAAATTAACAAATAAAGTTAATAAATTAACAATTAATATTGCTAATTGCCTGATAAACGGATGTAATTTATAAGTGATATTAGAAAAATTAATAAGTATATTAAAAAAATTAACAACTTGTGATTCTGTATAACAAGTGAAGGATATTTTAATCTTTTTACTATCAATTTTTTTTTTACTTTTTTTCTCTGGACTGAATTAAAATTTCAAAATGTTCTTGGATTCACTTGAAATTAAGCCTTTTTTCCTAGTCCTTAACTGAAATTCTCGCTTTGAATATTTTTTAAATTTTAATTCATATTTCTAAAATTATAATTTATGCATACACACACATACCTACTAAGCATTGAAAGGAAATAAAAATGAGCAAATATAAAAAAAATATTTATATACGTATTTATTGTAAAATTGTAAATTATTAATTAATAAAAAATATATAGGAGAAGATGAAGTATGGATGGATATTGCCTTTCATTTTTATTATGTATTATTTGTTGGGTTTAAATATTCATTTTTATAATAATAGATGATTATTTCTTTTATTTTAAACACATGATTTAAAATACATTGATGTCTTCATGACTGGTTTGAAATGGTCTTATCATTGATTGTGAACTGGTGCCTTAACCAACTCAATGGTTAGTGTAGCTTTATAACATCCTGTTATAATAATTAATTTTTATTCAATTGATTTTTGACAAATAAACTTTTGATAAACACATTTTTATTGCACTGAAAACAAAATCCACATTTCACAAAATCTCATTCGAACTTAATTTCTTTTTAAGTGCCATGGTTTTTAAAATGATTTTCCAAATTGTAGTTCTTTTTAATTAATATCTTTATGATTTGGCCCGTTTTTAACAATTTCTCTTAGAATAAATGAATTTAATTGTTGATCGTTTATAAATTATGAGAGGATGGGAGCCCTTATTTGTAAAAACATTTTTTAATTTTTTCTCCCTTCCCGACCTTCTCCTCCAAAATTGAAGAATTTAGAGAGGCTGGGTAATTCTTTGTTGTGTCTTTGACTAATATACTCATGATTTGTTTCAATATTCCTAAATTACCCTACTAGCTAAACCATGATATATATTTGAGAGAATGACAGGACCTTATAAGAATATTAATATCAAATCCAAACTTTAAATACTGAAATATGAGAGAGAGAGTATTGAAATTTAAAAATGTCAATGTTAAAAAATCCTACTTTAATATTAATGTTCTTATGGATCATTACTTATCATTCTCCCTATATATATATATATATATATATATTTTAAGGTCCAAAAACATGCACCGGTACTTATGAAACTTCTCTTTTACCACACAGAAATCTCAGATTACAATGAGAAATTTGAGATTTTGAGAGAGTAAGTGAAGTAAAAGGAGTTACTTCTCTGGTCCTATTTATAGGGCAGAAAGAAAAGAAAAAATTTGATCATATTTA